GCAAACCTTGAATGTAGCTGAGATAATCGAAGACCACAACCATGCTTGCAATGCTGAAGCATTTCAGTATTTTCCAAGGCAAAGGCGTTTGGAAGAAGATCACAGAGAGGATGTATGCAACCTATTGCAGTTGAAATGTAATAAAAAGCTGGTAAAACACTATGTAAAAACCAAATATGGAAAAATTGTAACTCTGAAAGATTTGTCAAATCTAAAATCTCATATGTTGGGAACATCTGAAAACAACCTGGTAGAAACCATTAATTTTCTCAATACTTTCACAGACTCAACAGTTGAGATTTTAGTTAAGGAAGATGATACCCTCATAGGCATCTATTTTCAAGACTCAATCATGAAACGTTCTTTTGAAGCATATCCAGAAGTGCTTTTATGTGATGCTACTTTCAAATTGAATAATCTTAGAATGCCCATATACCTGTTGATCATCATTAATGGAAATGGTGAAGGAAAAGTTGTGGCAACATTTACATTAACTAATGAAAATACCACAACTATTAGCCACATGATCTCAATTTTTAAATCTACCAATGAATGCTGGGAAAAAACAGTAACAATATTTACAGATAAAGATTTCAAAGAGAGGAAAGTCTTTGCTGAAGAATTTCCAAATATTCTTCTCTGCTTATTTCACACATTAAAATCCTTTAGAACCAATATTAGTTGTGAAGCAATAAACATTAATTCTGAAGAACGAATGTTATGTCTTAAGGTACTGCAAGAATTAACTTACTCAAAAAATGAGGATGAATATTTTCAACACTATAATGTACTAATGGGCTTTGATTTTCAAAAAGTGAAAGATTATTATAATAAGAATTGGCACTGTATTAGATCAGAATGGGTTGAAAGATTCAAAAAACAGAGTTTGACTTTCAATGTAAGTACTACAAATGCACTAGAGAAAATCAACCAAAAAATCAAACAACTTGTAAGCAAAATGAGTCCCATAAAGGTTTTCTATGAAGATTTGATGTTATGTTTGCAAGTAATGCAGAATGAAAGAACAATCAGGGCTTAACTCTGTTCAGGATAAATACTGAAATTATGTTACACCCTATGCATTCAAATTTATTGAGAGACAACTTGAAAAAGCTCAGGCCCTAAAGTTGGATTGTGATGACGGTCAATACTTTTTTCGTTCCAGTTATGGGGAAATAAAAGTAACTGAAACAGAATGTACTTGCTCATTCAACATAAATATGCAATTACCATGTTGTCACATTTTTTCTCTTCTATCATCAAAAAATGAAGACATGTTCAATGAAAATTTAATCAATAAAAGATTTTGTGAACAATATTACATAAAACATGAAACTGGTTCATATCAACTAAATCAAAATGGTGATAATGTTGATGAAAATGCCATTGAAAGCAATAATATAAGCATTATGAAGGTAAATAAACGAAAGTCTATATTATCTCAGCATGAGAAATATAGAAAAAGTATGGATATGTGCACAAAATTGTCATCATATCTATCTGATTATGGACATGAAACATTTTCTGCTGTTTTTGAGCAGCTCAAAACTGTTACCAACTTTGTTAAGAACCGAAAACAGTTTCTTATAGTAGAATTACAGTCAGAAGAAGGAATTATAAATTGTTCTGAGCATGTTGATCGTTTGACGGATATGGTGACAATTGAAGAAGAAAAAATAAATGATGAAAATGATAATAAAGTAATAATGAGTCTTATGAAAGAGCGCGAAGCTCTAGAGACTAATGAATTATCACATGGCCTGAGAGAAGGTACTGAAGGTAGCGATTTACCAAATGCGAGGACCAATAATGTTATTGATATGCAAAAAATCTATGAAGATGATGAACTTGAAGACGAAAAGAAAACAACTACCATTTCAAGCATTAAAATAAACCCTCTGAAAGCAAAAACTGTTGGTAGACCGAAAGGTCACTTGAATACAGTGATAGGGTTACCAAAACGCAAGAAGACGAGTATTTTTGAACAGCAATCTCTTTACTCCAAAAGAAAACGAATTTCACAAGCTATATTTCCTTTACGTGATCTGGAATATATTAACGATATACTCCAAGATATGTACTTAATTAAAGACAGTGATTTGGAAAGAAGTGTTGATGAATTTGATTGTTTTTTTATTAGAACCAGAAGTTGACACTAAATTGGTGGAAAAATACTTTGGGATAACAGCATATAAAAAGTTGCTGCAAATAAAAAATAGCAAAAAAAAGAAGGAAAATATCAAGTATTTCTGCCTGATGTGCAAAAATTCACTTGGAGAGAAAGCTATCAGATGCGATTTTTGCTTGTTGTGGGCAGACATAACTTGCAGTAATATGACTAAAAATAAAATTCCTTATAAATCAAAGAAATGGTTTTGTGTTTCTTGCATGAAATAAATCATTCCGTCTCATTTCTGAGTTATAGTTTCATCAGCCATTTTCAGTTAGTTTGTATTGTTTTTGTCTAGCTTCAATTTATAAGAATATTTCACTACAAGGAATTACAGAAAAATAATTGGGCCGGTGTGCTAAAGGAAAGACGAAATTGAGTGAAGCCTGATAATATGTCTCATGAATAAATATACAGGGTGTTTATTAATTGAGTGCCGATGATACAAGGTGTGAATCCTCGAGTGATTTTATGGAGAAAAGTTCATATCAACATATGTCCTAAACCTTTTAGTTTCTGAGCTACAGGGTGTTGAAGTTTTGAGAAAAAAGTGTCATTTTCATCATAACTTTTTATCGCTCCTAGATCATTTCATGAAATTTCGTACACACTTCGTCATTATTGGGGAGCAATTTTCGACGTGTAAATTTTTTTGTAACTATCACCAGTGACGCCCGTGCGAGGTTTAAACTGATATTTTTGAAGAAAAAATTGGTACGCTACTGATTTTTCTGAAAATTGAAATTACTTTTGGAATCTTCATTTATTGGAGCAAATTTGATTCTGAGACTCACTTTCATACGACGTACCGTTTTCGAATAAAAAAATAAAATCTAGAAAGTTTACTCATCATTTCTTCGAGATTGTTCTTAGTATTTTGTTAAAATTCACTAGGCACCCACTATGAATCGAAACACAATTTGTTTTGGGACGAAACTCAAGTATTTGCTTTTACCAGTGATGTTCACGTAGGGTCGATATTGAATGTTTTGATTGAAAAAAAAACTGTACGTCTCTGATTTTAACACCCTGTAGCTCAAAAACCGAGAGCTTCAGGACATGAGTTGATATGAACTATTCTCCTCAAAATCATTCGAGGATTCACACCTTTATCGGCACTCAATCAATTAACACCCTGTATAGGTGATCTTTTATTATACCTACTGAGTCCATACAAAATTCACGAAATAAGCCACTATATATGACCTTTTTATTCTCAGTTTTGAGATGAACATATCCGTCTATTTACCTTTTGTACCTGAGTACTTGTTTTGTTTTGAGTGTGATATGTTTGATATTTTCATCTACTGCTGATTTGAGAGAATGCCACTAATATTTCACGTATTAGACTGAATTATCCCAAATCAAATTCTTAGCAGCAGATATATTATTATAATGTCCATTTATGTACTTGTTTCGTTTTTAGATACATAGGTACCTTCCTATTCGTTTTTCATTTGATATCGTTAATTTTGTTTAATGAAAAAATAATATCTCAAAACATGAGTTTTACTACCTACCTACACATGATCTTATTCAGATTCACCAGTTTTTTTTCATATTAATATAGGTACCGCGGATGGTTCACCATTAAAATCTCCTATCCCTCCCTATATCTTTGGATTTGAGAGCAATTCTTCATTTACATTTTATACACTTCATCAAAAAATGCAGGGTGTCCGAAATAAACGAATTATTGGGTTGCAATCGATTTTTTCAATCGGTAAGAGATTATTATTAGGAATTCAGCAATACCATCAGGTTTGATGGAATTATGTCAAACTGCGATAAATAAGTTACAAGAGGAAACTCATATATCCTGAAATATACTTGAAATTATACCACCTAATATGTCGGGTAGGTTCTGTATATAGGGTCATCATTGAAATACGTTGGATCAAAATTGATCGGAAGTGTTTCCAAGATATGTTAGTTTTTCCAACAGGACACCCTGTATATTTTCATTTTCTTCCTTTTCAATTTCACACATTAAATTCGTTGAGCATGCCATATACCTAAGTTCAAACACCCTGTATAGTAAAAGAGAGTATCCTTTCTCCTGGTTTTCCAAGAGAATATTTAAGAGAACTCAAGTATGTAGTAGATTTGTGGTCAAAATGCGGGCGCCCGGTCATATAAATATTTGAAGTCGGAATCCGGGCGCCCGGTCAAATGAATATTTGTTGTCCGAATCCGGGCGCCCGGTCAAATAAATATTTGCTGTCCGAATCCGGGCGCCCGGTCATATAAATATTTGAAGTCGAAATCCGGGTGCCCGGTCAAATAGATATTTTTAGTGAGAATCCGGGCGCCCGGCCAAACAAATATTTTTCGTGGAAATCCGGGCGCCCGGTCGAATGAATATTTGTTGTCGGAATCCGGGCGCCTGGTCAAATGAATATTTGTTGTCAGAATCCGGGCGCCCGGTCAAATAAATATTTGTAGTCGGAGTCCGGGCGCCCGGTTCGATAAATATTCGTGTCTGGACTCCGGGCGCCCGGTCGAATAGATATTTGTGGTTAGAATCCGGGCGTTTGATTGAAAAAAAAGATTCGAAGCGAGAATCGAACCCCAGTCCCCTAGCTCATGAAGCCACGACGCTGTCCATTGCTCCATTATATTGCTGAGAAATATCGTAGCAAGCTGTGTTCTTCATCGAACCAGGCGCCTGGTCCGATAATTATTTGTGTCTGGAATCCGGGCGCCCGGTTCGTTAAATATTCGTGTCTGGACTCCGGGCGCCCGGACCCATAGACATTCCCTTTAAAAATTGTCTCAATTGTTCAATTTACCATACCTCATCACTCTCATTAACTCGATATTCACCATAATGCCTATTGATAAACACAAAAACCAAATCCCCCCGCGGATGACAACAAGATCCACCTCCTCTACCCCACAACCCCAAACTCCCCCATCACCATCCTCAAATAACGACGACTCTCTAGGGTCTAATAACACCTATGCCGATGCAACAATGTTGCAAAACATTACCAAAACCCTCGATTTTTCCTCCGCTCTTGAAGCAAATAACAACACGAGCACCCCCAACCCCCTTCCCACTCCCTCCTCCAATAACACTAACACAACAACACAACAACCTCACCCAACAAACCTTCAACATAAGATCCTCCCAATTAAATTCAGGTCTCAGAAAGAACTATACAACCTCCCTAACACACACGAAATTCTTAGAGATCAAATTTTATTTTTGAAAGCCAACCTTGACCAAACGGCATTACTAAAAACCACTTCAAATTTAACGCAATCCCAACTAGGAATGAAACTCAAAAACGCAACCGGAGAAAACTCTAACCGCCTAATCCTCCGAAACCCGAAAAACCTTCCGAATAAAAAACCACTAAACACAAGGAATCCCACGTTTTCCATGGTGATCAAGGGTGTCCCCAAAGACATCACCATGGAGGATCTAGAAGAATCCTTCAAAGAAATAAGGTTCCCAACCATCAAATTCTGGAGAATCACCTCTCGGGCAACTAACCTACCCACCACCCTAATCAGAGTTATCACTGACTCTGAATCCCATTATTCCCGAGCCCTAAACTTAGGTATTTCATTCTTCGGAATGAAATTCCAGGTTGAACCCTCCAATCCCAACCCTATCCCTCCTATCCCTAAATATTGCAGCAGATGCGCGGAAAACGGACATTCCTTAGAGGAATGTAAATACCGAATTTAAAATTGCAACGGAAATCACCCCGCCTTTTCCCCTAAATGCCTTAAAAGGGCCGAATCCCCCCAAACCCCATCGGAAGTTGCTCCAGTAGTCCTAACCCCCCTCCCAATCCTGCCAGAGCTAACCGAAGCCACTAAATCAATAATTATGCTTAACACAATTGTACTGATCAACACCTTGCCGGAAAGACGCCAGCTGATACTCACAAGTCTGAACAAAAATATGCAGGTCCTATTTGGACACACCTGCATATTTACATGCTCGGGAGGCCAGGTGAAGTTTTTCTTCAACAAAATTTGAGAATAAAAATATAAAATCAAAAAACAATAAAATCTTAAAGAACGAACAGCAATGACAGTAAACGTTACAATCGGTACCGTAAACTGCCAGGGCCTCACCCGAAAAAGACACCTCCTTAAAAACCTCCTGATAAATCAAAACATTCAAATTCTAGCCCTAACAGGCACCCTCCAAGAACATCCCCCCAGCTTCACTGGATATAACACAATACACACACCTAAAAATGAAACATCAAGAGGCATCGGCTTTCTCGTAAGACACGGCATCCCCCACACACCACATAACCTCCCACCTCACCTACAAGACCTAGATATCCAAGCCATCGACCTTCACACCCCAAATCATAACATAACCATCATAGCATATTACAACCATTCGACCCAAACCCTATCCCGTTCCCTCATCACATACCTATCCTCACTCCAAAGAAGGATACTCCTTGGCGATTTCAACGCTAGGCATCCGCAGTTCGAAGACCAAGCGGGAAATCGAAATGGAGTACTCCTCACGAACCACCTACTCGAACTTCCCATCCATAGAATCCCAAACCAAAACTACACCTTTTTTCTTACGGTGAGTCATCCATCATCGATCATATCATATGCACCGAAAGGTGTATAAAGATGCTCGAGGGTGAGTGTCACATCGGGGAATTCATCTCCTCAGACCACTTCCCTCTCCTCTGTCACTCTCAGCTAATGAACCCAATTTCAAAACCTTCAGGTACCATAACTTTCCTCAATTTCAAAAAAGCTGACTGAAACCAATTCAGAACCCTCATTTCACAAAACCTTCCACTTAACCACCCACTCGAATCCCCAATCCAAATAGATAACGCCATACACACACTTGAATCCACAATTACAGACGCCATCGACGCCACAGTTACCCTCACCACCATAAAAACCGATTATCATACACTCCCTCCTGATATCCTAAACCTCATAAAACAAAAACGTAGATTATACCGACAGTACACACAAACCCAATAGCCGAATGGAATAGATTGAATTCTACAATCAGATTAAAAATAAATAAACATATAGAAAAACTTTGGATTAAAGCCACCGCCAACCTCGATTACAGGGATGGAGCAGGTTATTGGAAAACTTTTGAAAGATTAACTTTTTTTCTTTTCGCAATTGCATACCTCGTTAGTCCCAGCACTGGGACCAAACGCCCCATAAGTCGAAACTTGTGCGGGGTTAGTTATACATACAAACACAAACATCTATGGCCTAACTAGGATTCGAACCTAGGTCTCGGTGGGAGTCCCCATTCGAACTCAGCGCCTTCACGCTCCCGACCACCGAGCCGCCTGTAACTAAACAAAATAAAAACACCCACTCTCACCTAATTCATAATAACCAAATCCACACCACAACCGATCAAGAAGCCGCGATTTTTAAAAACCACCTAGAATCCACTTTTCAAACTCCAAACCATCCAAATTTTGATAACAATGTCCAACTAAACATAATTACGCACATAAATCAATTTCTTAATCACCACTAAAACCACCACTCTAAATCCTGAATGCCCACTCCTAAATCCAATCACTACACACGATATCCACACAACCATTCACACTGGAAAAAACTCAGCACCCGGTCCCGACGCGATAAACAGAAAAACACTCAGACAACTCCCAGAATCCACCCACGCCCTTCTGGCAAAAATCCTCAACGCATGCCTCACATACGCCCATTTCCCCACTGCGTGGAAACGCGCAAATACAATCCTCATCCTAAAACCTGGTAAAAATCCACAAATTCCTGACTCCCACAGACCTATATCCTCAATCAGCTGCCTAGGCAAGCTAATCCTAAAATCCAGACTCCTCGAATTCACACAAACTAACAACATAATACAACCCTATCAACACGGCTTCCAACCTGATCACGAAACCCAAAACTCACTACACGAAATACACACACACGCCACCAAAGCAATCAACGAAGGTCACGCCACCCTAGCCATCTTCCTCGATGTCCAAAAAGCCTTTGACAAAGTCTGGCACCCAGGCCTGATCCAGAAACTCCTTAACATCAACCTTCCCCACCATTTCATACGCATCCTAGTATCCTATCTGCTGAGGAGAGAAATACGTATGAAAGTAGACCTCTCCTTATCAGAACCCTTCTCCCCTCTCAGTGGAGTCCCCCAAGGCTCCATACTTGCACCACTCCTATACCTCATCTACGTTCACGACATCCCTCATATACATAACACACTCCTGTACGCAGATGACACAGCCCTCTACACCTCAGCCCCCTCCACACTAACACTAAACACCCGCGGACAACAAATGTTGAACCAGGAACTGGTGCAACAAATGGCGAATAACACTTGACCCACAAAAAACCCAAACCATCCTATTCACCCATCAAAACCTCACACATAGAAAACAACTTGACCCCGAAAACATCCGCCTAGTGCTCGCAGGTCAGAGGCTCCAACTTCTAGATCAAGTCACCTATCTGGGTGTGCGATTCACTCGCACCCTCAACTGGGAGGTCGACCTACAACACACTCTCAATAAAATCAGAAAAAAAACTCCCTCCTAGGAGCACTTTGCGGAAAACTCGGAAAATGTAAAACACTAACACTCCTTCATACCTACAAAACCTTCATCACACCTATCGTTGATTACAAAGCAATAATATACACCACACTAACCCCAAGACAAACACTAGCCCTTCAGGCAACCGAACGTCGAATTCTGAAAAAATGCCTATACCTTCACTACAGACACCCAACACATCTCGTATACACTAACCCCACATGAATGAACAGGCTGGGGTGCCGTCTAACTGTGAAGTTCTGCAACCACCTGCCACCAACCCGAAAGTATTGACTCTTTTATCTGAACGTCAGAAGAAATCGGATGCATACTTGCAAAAGGTTCAAACTACCTTATGCAAAGGTTCATGTGCTCTAGGAGAAATCCTTAATGATCACCTAGAAAATCCAGTTCCCAATGACCAAACCAAAACTTTAGCGAATACTGCAAAACTCATTGCAAATGGTATACACAATTTGAGCAGACATAGGAAGTACGTTATTTCACCAGCCTTGGCACCATCAGATAGAAAAGTAGCTGATATCCTATCGATAGATTCACTTCTTTTCGGGTCGGATTTTCAAGAGAAATGCGAAACCGCGAAGAAGGTGGAAAACAGCAACCGTGAGCTGAAAGCATTCCAAAAAGCACCTTAGCAGTCTTTAAACTATCAGCGTCAGAATTACAAACAACGGAAGAAGCCTCTAGCGATAACATCATCCAGCAGCAGCCAATTGCCGATGCAGAGGTCGACACCAACGAAAGGGAAAAAATTCGAATCTTCGAAAGAGGACAACCATCGACGTCGACGAGAGTAGAAGTGTCGATGGTAGGCAATCTTGGGGCAGACTGAAGATTTTCTTACCACAATGGTTGAAACTGGCACCAAAAAAAATTATTTTGAATTGTATCAGAGGTTCACACTTCCCTCTCAGAACTCATCCCATACAAAATGATCCTCCTCTTCAGAAACATTTCTCTGCGAGCGAAATATTATATTACACACCGAGGTGGGAAGTGATTCATTCCTGTCGTGAGATTAGTTAGCTATGATCTCTAGACAGAAATGAAACTTCCTACCGAGGATTGTATACTATTTTATTCACAACCATCATATTCCGATCAAAATTAATAAATCTCTATTTCGTTCTCAACATACCTAAAATAATACAGTTAATGACAAATTGCCAGAAACCAAAATACCAAGAACGCGGTTTTATCAGAATAATGAAGTAGATAGAAAAATGTTGAGAATATCGGTTCCGAAAGTGTTCTTCTGGCATATTTTGGAGTACATACCAGACAAAAGAAGCCGTCTACTTTGTGGGCAATGTACAGTATGATACGAACTAAACTATGCTAGCCTTCCTAAAACGACAAAATGTGGGCTTTAGGCCCAAGAAATCGAACGTAGTGTCGAGGAAGAATATAGGGGATTTTTTAAATAAAGCTCCAAATAATCTTCTACCGATGAAGGTAAGTTATTTGTGATTCTATAAATATGTATTAAAAAAAAACGTGTTCAAGCTAATACAAGTATACTGTTATTATGGTATTATTTTTTCTTATTGTTCCAGGTTTAATGATAGGCGTATCTGGAGCTTGTCGGAGGGACGAATTAGTGAAAATGAAAATGTTGGATGTGGCTTTTTTTGAGGAAAAAATTTTGGTTGAGGTTCCAGATTCTAAAACACATAGAAATAGATCATTTCTCATTATCGATCCAGTGTGGGTGAAGATTATTCGAGACTACATAAATTTGAGAAAAAACATAGAAATCGATAGATTTTTTTGTTCAGCTCAGAGGAGGAATTGCAAGAAATCAACCAATTGGACACAATACAATAGCTAATTTTCCCCAAAAAATTGCTACTTTTTTTAATCTAGAGAACTGGAAAGGCTTCACAGGACACGCACAGAAGAACCGCCGCTACTTTACTTGCCAATAGTGGTGCAAGTGTACTCCAATTAAAAAGGCTAGGAGGTTGGAAATCGAGTAGTGTGTCAGAAGGTTATGTGGATGGCTCAATAGAGAATAAAACGAAAACTGCCACTATGCTGTCCCAATGTGCCATGTCTTCTGTAGCTATTGCAAGTAGTTCACAAATATCAGTCATTCAACATGAAAATAATTAGCATT